ACGCTCACGGCCACCGCAGCCTCAACCTGCTGGGCTCAGGCGGTCCTTCCGCCTCAGTCTTCCAAGTAACTGGAACCACAGGTGTGCACCATCATGCCCGACTAGTTTTTGATTTTTTGTAGAGATGAGGTCTTGCCAAGTTGCCCGGGCTGGTCTCCAACCCCTGGACTTGGGCAATCCTCTCACTTCGGCCTTCCAAAGTGCTGGGATTACAGGAATGAGCCACCGAGGCTGCTCTCTTATTCCTTTATCATGTAACACATCATTTATTGAATTTATATCATAAGTATTGTTAACTTTACATCATAGTATTTAAGTCATGGGGTATCAGGAGTAAACATCACACAAGGAAGGGATTCGTGTGCCTTTGGCTGTACACAGGATAGCTGTATCATGTTAGGGAGAATTATTACCTTGTTAATGTCTTTTTTTGGAGATCACATATGGCTTAAGGAGGTGCACTGGGTGCCAAGTTGACAAGGGGTAAACCTGCAGACTTAATTTTAGGTGTCGACAAGATTGGATGAAGGGACACCTGGAAACCTGGCAAACCATTACTTTCTGGTATGTCTGCCAGGGGGTTTCCTGAGATTAGCATACATATCTGAGCAGACCAGGTACGGAGGATCCAGCCCCACTGTGTGGGCAAATGGGCTGGGGTACAGGAGGACAAATAGCGAGAAAAGGCGAATGTGCTGTCTGTCTTCCAGAGGTGGGACACACTTTTCCTCTCCTGAACTTGGACAACTCTAGGAATTACCTAAGTCTCCTCGTACGTGGTCCTGCTCAGGCCCTTGGCCTCCATCTGAGAATCACACCATCGGCTTCCCTGGTTCTGAGGGCTTTGGACTTGGACTGAGCCATGACACCAGCATCCCAATATCCCAGGGTCTCCAGCTTGCACATGGCCTGTTGAGGGACTTCTCGGTCTTCATAATCCCATGAGCCAATCCCCTTAGTAAATACCCTCTCATCTCTCTCTCTGTATATCCTATTGATTCTGGAGAACCCTGACTAATAGACTACCCAAAACAATCTACAGACTCAGTGAAATCTCTATCATGACATTTCTTACAGAAACAGAAAAACAATCCTAAACCTCATACAAAACCACAGAGGGGCCCCAAATACCAAAGCACTCTTAAGCAAAAAGAACAAAGCTGAAGGTATCACACTACCTGATTTCAAAATGTCTCACAAAGCTATGGTAATCAAAACAGCATTGCACTGGCATAAAAACAGACACCAGGCCCAATGGAACAGAATAGAAAGCCCAGAAATAAATCCACACATTATGACTAGTTTCTGACAAAGATACTAAGAACACACAATGGAAAAAAGCACAGTCTCTCCAATACATTATGCTGGGAAAACTGGATATCCACATACAAGAGAATAAAACTAGACCCTGCTGGGCTCGGTGGGTCAGCCTGTAATCCTGCGCCTTTGGGAGGCTGAGGTGACTGGATTGCTTGAGCACATGGGTTTGAGACCTGCCCGGGCAATTTGGCAAGACCTTGTCTCTACAATAAATCAAAAACCAGCCGGGCGTGGTAGCGGGCGCAGGTAGTTCTGGCTACTTGGAAGGCTGAGGCAGAAGGATCGCCAGAGCCCAGCAGGTCGAGGCTGCGGTGGCTGGGAGCAGCCACTGCACTCAGTCTGGGTGACAGAGTGAGACTCCAACTCAAAAAACAAACAAAAAAACTAGACCCTTATTTCTTACCATATGCAACAATTGACTCAAAATTTATTAAAGACTTAAGCCGGGCACGGTGGCTCTCTCCTGTAATTCCAACACTTTGGGAGGCAGAGCAGAGAGGACTGCCAGAGCCCAGGGATTCGAGACAAGCCTAGGCAACTTGGTGAGACTTCGTGTCTACAATAAATAAAAAAAAAATTAGCCAGGTGTGGTAGTATGCACCTGTAGTTCCAGCTACTTGGAAGGCTGAGGTGGAAGGATCGTTGGAGCCCAACAGGTCGAGGCTGCAGTGGCTGGGAGCAGCCACTGCACTCAAGTCTGGGTGACAGAGTGAGACTCCAACTCAAAAAACAAACAAAAAAACTAGACCCTTATTTCTTACCATATGCAACAATTGACTCAAAATTTATTAAAGACTTAAGCCGGGCACGGTGGCTCTCTCCTGTAATTCCAACACTTTGGGAGGCAGAGCAGAGAGGACTGCCAGAGCCCAGGGATTCGAGACAAGCCTAGGCAACTTGGTGAGACTTCGTGTCTACAATAAATAAAAAAAAAATTAGCCAGGTGTGGTAGTATGCACCTGTAGTTCCAGCTACTTGGAAGGCTGAGGTGGAAGGATCGTTGGAGCCCAACAGGTCGAGGCTGCAGTGGCTGGGAGCAGCCACTGCACTCAAGTCTGGGTGACAGAGTGAGACTCCAACTCAAAAAACAAACAAAAAAACTAGACCCTTATTTCTTACCATATGCAACAATTGACTCAAAATTTATTAAAGACTTAAGCCGGGCACGGTGGCTCTCTCCTGTAATTCCAACACTTTGGGAGGCAGAGCAGAGAGGACTGCCAGAGCCCAGGGATTCGAGACAAGCCTAGGCAACTTGGTGAGACTTCGTGTCTACAATAAATAAAAAAAAAATTAGCCAGGTGTGGTAGTATGCACCTGTAGTTCCAGCTACTTGGAAGGCTGAGGTGGAAGGATCGTTGGAGCCCAACAGGTCGAGGCTGCAGTGGCTGGGAGCAGCCACTGCACTCAAGTCTGGGTGACAGAGTGAGACTCCAACTCAAAAAACAAACAAAAAAACTAGACCCTTATTTCTTACCATATGCAACAATTGACTCAAAATTTATTAAAGACTTAAGCCGGGCACGGTGGCTCTCTCCTGTAATTCCAACACTTTGGGAGGCAGAGCAGAGAGGACTGCCAGAGCCCAGGGATTCGAGACAAGCCTAGGCAACTTGGTGAGACTTCGTGTCTACAATAAATAAAAAAAAAATTAGCCAGGTGTGGTAGTATGCACCTGTAGTTCCAGCTACTTGGAAGGCTGAGGTGGAAGGATCGCTGGAGCCCAGCAGGTCAAGGCTATGGTGGCCGTGAGCGTGCCACTGTATTCCAACCTGGGCAACAGAGTGAGAATCCAACTCAAAAAAAAAATTAAAGACTTAAATATAAGACCAGAAACTATATAACTACTAGAAGAAAACCAAGGGGAAAACTCCACATTGGCCTGGGCAATTATGTGTTTAGATTTGATCCCCAAAGCGCAGGCAATGAAAGCAAAAACAGACAAATGGGAACACATCAATGAAAATGCTCCCACCCCATGAAGGAAACAATCAACAGGAGGAGAAGACACCTAGCTGAATGGAAAAAGATGTCTGCAACTCACACATCTGATAAGGGATAAATATCCAACACATACAAGGAACTTAAATAACACTAAAAAAATTTTTTTAAATGAGAAAAGGACCTGAATAGACATTTCTCAAGACATACAAATGGCTGGTATGTAGATGAAAAAAGGCTCAATATCACTTACTCATCAGAGTAGTACTAGTTAAAACCAGAATGAGATATCATCTCATACTTGTTAGAAAGGCAGTTATTAAAAAGATGGAAGAACAAATGCTGTCGAGGATGTGGAAAAAGGGAGACCCTTCCACGCTATTGGTGGGAACGTAAATTAGTAGCAACATGGAGGAAAATGGAACGGAGGTTCCCCTTAACATTAAAAACAGAGCTACCATATGACCCAGCAATCCCGCTGCTAGTTACATAGTCAGAGGAAATGAAATCAGGACGCCGAAGAGCAATCTGCACCCACAAGTTCACTGCAGACTATTAACAACAGCCGAGACATGGAGTCAACCCTAAGTGTTCATCAACAGATAAACGGATGAAGAAAATGTGGCATATTTACACATTCAGCCTTTATTTATTTGTTACTATCATTTTTATCTCCCACATGGAGTTTTCACTAAGGTGTACAGGCTGGCGTCTGGCCTCAGTCTCTAGGAAAAAAATCCTGTTGTGACGGCTTGGACAGACCTGGGGAATGTGATGCTAAGTTACACACGCCAGGCACAGAAAGGCAAATACTGCATGTCACATACATGACAGCACATGAATGGTCGGGAGATCTGTTAGAGAAAACTAAGTAAAAACACAGAAGATGCATACGGGGGAACTTAAAAGCCGAGGAAAAGGTTCTCGAATTTTAAGCATATTACTAGTGTTTCAAGCCAAAGTCAACTTCTAGGTCTTATTCCATGTGAGGACAACTTGAAGGTGTCCAAGAGCTCATGCCACAGGCTGTGACCATGGGGCTCCTTCCAGGTGGGCCAGAGGGGGTTCAGTGACACAGGGGAGGAGCTGGGTTGTCCAGGGGTCTGGGAGGGAGCGCCGGGAGGAGGGATGTACTGAGGACATAGCCAGGGGCAGGGGAAGTCGTGCTGCAAGTTCCCAGGGAGGATGGTGACCTCCAATTGATAAGCTGACCCCAAACGGAAACCTGGACAGTGCCCAACTCCACTGGTGTCCTTTTCCCAGCGTGGAGGCCAGAGGCTATCAGACGCACCTTTCCTTTACTGCCCTCGCATGGGCCTCTGGCTTCCCTACCCCTACCTCCCCTCTCTGTGGAGGACCATCTGCTGACCTGCCCACCTCCCCAACTCCCTTTCACCTCTTGCCCACTCTGGCTCTTTTGTCCTTTTCTGAGACCAGGAAGCGGCTACAGGAGGGAAGCAAGGGTCCGGCTTTGGGCTCCATGTTCCACCACTGATCTCGCAGCCTTGGTGTTGGGGCCGACAGGCCCACCAGGCTGTGCCAGGCTGGTCCCTTTGTGACCAGGCAGTGGGCACCTCTGGGCCAGCCCTTGCATCTGTTTTGTGGAGGATGCTGAGGATGGGACAGGGAGAGTGCCCATGGGGCTAGGTCACGGATGAGCCTGATAGTGCTCTGGACGACCCACTGTCTGGGAGACCCCCACCATCCTCTGGCCTCCGCAGCAGGAAGGACGCACCAGGTACACAGGCGAGAACAAAAAACGCCTTTATTGGTGCATGGACTCGCAGGATGGGATGGGCTGGTGTGGCACTAACTCAAAGATGACCACCTTGCCTCCCTTCCCTCCTCAATCAGTCTCGCTCCCTCCAGCACAGGAGCTGGGGTCGGGGCTCCAGACTCCGAACCCTACCGCCTGGGGCCAGGTCCTGAGCTAGGTCACACGTTTACTCTTGGACCAATCGTGAAGGCAGTGGCGGGGTCCTGGGAGGAACATGGCTGGCTTGGGGGGACCTGCGGGCCCTCAAAGCAGCACCTAGCAATCCTGGGGGCAGTATCCCAACCTGTGTCCGGCCCAGCAGCGTCAGTGAAGGCACGATGGCTGGCCCCATCCTGCCGCAGGAGGCCACAGCTTTGGCCAGACACATGGCTCACACAGTGTAGCTACTTTTTCCGCCGGGGGGTCCGGGAGCTGCTGCTGCAGCCATCCGGGGGTGGGGTGGCCTGTTCGCAGGCAGCTCTGGAGTCCTTCTTGGGGGCCGGCCTGTGCGTCTCCCCTCTGGCTGGCAGGAAGGACCTGGGAGGCCTTGGAGCCAGCAGGGCCTGCATGACTCTGATAGCCGCCACAGCCGCCAGGAGCCCCCAGAGCAGGGTGGGGGCCTCCAGGGAAGACAGTCGAGTTCGAACCCAGCAGAGGGCCTGGGCCAGGGCACTGCTGGAGCTGCGAGCCCGCGGTGGGCTCTTGTCCTGGGGGAGCAAGATTGAGGGTGTGTCCGTAGGACTCGCTCTAGAGGCAGGCGCCACCCCTGCCCCCCACCCTGCCAGGCCACGCCCCTCACCTGCAGCCCAAACTGCCTGAGCAGCGTCTCCAGCATCGGGTCCCCGAGGGACACGGGTGGGAAGAACTCCTCCACCCACTGGCGCCGCCACCACCTGCTGCCACAGGACCAGACACTCACTGTGTGGCTGGAGCTTAGGACCCAGTGTCCCACCCGGCACCAGCCTTACCCCTGCTCTCCGGGCTGTGAGAACCAGTACTTGTAGCGCTGGGCCCGCATGAAGGTGGGCGGCTGCTTGTGGAAGGGGTACCTGGCAGCCTCATTCTGGACCAGGCGGATCACTGGGGCAGGGACAGGCTCAGTGCGCCCACCTGCTGCCCTTCCACCACTCCCTGGCCCGCCCCATATGCTCCTGCACAGGCGCCTCCCACCACCCAACCTCCCCCCGCCTCTGGGGCCTCACCAGGCTCCTTGCCCTGCAGCAGGCGGAGGACCAGGCTGGTGAACCACGGGCTGTGTGCGTGTGGGCCCAGGGCAGCAAACCACATCTGCCAGTCGAGGCGCGGCTGGTGGGGCACCACCACCGGGGGTGGCCGGCTCACGTTCCCGGGCTTGTACATGAACTCCACCTCCTAATGGGTGGATCATGGTCAGCGGGGCTGGCTGACCTGGTCCCACCTCTCCCACCTTCCACCCCGGGAGGCTCACCGTCCAGTGGTGGCCGTCGTAACTGCCCTCCAGCACCACCTCAGGCCGCCCACCCAGCCCAGTCATCCTGCGGAAGAGGCCATATGAGCTGGCCAGCTGCAAGCGCTCCACAGTGCCAAACAGGCGGTGGGCCCCTGTCCAGAGGCGCCCATGGGTTCCTGGCTCCACATAGGAGTATGGCACCTGGAGACAGGCAGGCAGAGGCTCAGAGTAGCCCCTTTAGTGCCCCTGTACCCCCCAGCCATGCTACCCACCAGGCTGGTCACGAACAAGGCCACCGTGGCAACGCCCAGGACAGACAGTGGGACTGCAGCACTCAGCTTCCTCAGCCAGCCCCGCACCTGGGTCCACCTGGGGGCAGGACCCAGGCGTGGTCAGGCCTGCCCTGCACACCTGTCCCCCACCCCCTTCTTGGGCTGGGTACCTCCAGAGAGCAGTCAGAAGCTCCCAGGTGAGGGAGGCCGCACCCAGCCACACGGTGGGCAAAGTTACTGTCTGCAGCCACTGAGAGAACTGGTGGAAGGTGAAATCTGCCGGGAGAGGGGTGTGTAAGCAGGGAGTGTCTGGTCCTTGCCTCCTGGCTCCCAGCTGGCACTCACTGGCCAGGAGAGGGGTGCATAAGCAGGGGCGCCTGGTTCTTGTCTCCTGGCCCCCCGGCCGGCACTCACTGGTTCTGGAGTGGATGGTGCGCTGCTGCCAGTAAACTTCCAGGCCAAAGTAGTGCACGGTGCCATAGGCCAGCAGCCCGCAGACGGCCAGTTCCAGCAGCAGGGACAGCGCAGCCAGGAGGGCCTTGAGCCAGGCTGTGGGGCAGGACGGCTGTGGGCTGGTAGGGTCCACAGCCAGGGGGTGGGACAGAGCTAGAGTGGGGGACCCGTGGTGCTGGAGAGGAAACGCCCTGGGAGGGCCGGGGACTGGGATGGCTAGCTGCCCAGGTCCAGCTAACACTCACAGGTAGGCATCTTCTTGTGGCGGCCGTGGCCAGGCTCGGCTCCCAAGTGCTGGTCATCCAGGAGCGCGGTGGTGAGCACCAGCGTCAGCAAGTTGAAGAAGTTGTAGTTGCCAGTGATAATAATCAGGACTTGCAGCAGCACCTACGGGAGAACCCAAACTCAGAGCCCCCGCGGGCTGCCCCTCCTGGGCCCCGTTGACCTGGAGACCGAAACCCCGCAGTGAGGCTGCAGCCCTCTGACTGGCACATACCGCCACACCCGAGCAGCCATGAGGCCTTGTGTGGCTGGTGGCAGAGGCCCCCACCTACCTGAGAGTAAAAGGCAGCCAAGCGCAGGCGGCGAACAGGGGCAAAGAACAGCGGGGGCACAGCGATCTCGATGAGGAAGGTGGCCACCACACTGAGCTTGTGCAGCCAGACGGGAAGGTGGTGTGCAAACCAGGCGGCGGGTGTGGGCAGGCACTGGGTCTCGAAGTGGTAGGCGAGGGCTGCAGGCGATGGGCGGGCCGTCAGGGTTGGGCAGAGCCCCTAGACTGCCCCAGGTGCAGGCCAGGACCCTCACCAGTGAGCCCCCACCACGCAGGGCAGCGGCTGGTCAGCTTGACCACGCCTGAGGCGAACATGAGGCGGAACAGCAGCCAGCGCACGAGCCAGAAGGGGAGGCCTTCATGGGGCGAGGCCCCGGCTGGCCCACCCTGGGGGGCCTGCTTGCGGTGGGCGGGCTGCCTCAGTGGGGCTACCAGCACGGCCAGGAAACCAGTCTCCAGCAGCAGAGAATCCCTAGGGGAGAGGAGATAGCAGAAAGGCCCCTCCCCACGAGGCTGCTCCCCTTGGAGGGTCCTCCCGGGAGAGGCAAACACCCCACCACCACCACCCGGCCTCCCAAACCGATAGGCACTCACCACTGGAAGTAAAGGAACACCTGGCCCACCTGCAGGGAGAAGGGCGTTCAGGGGCTGGAGCAAGTCTGCTGGGGTGGGTGGGGCGGGCGAGCCAGCTGGTGTTGAGGCCCCCTGGTGTGTGGGGACCGCGCACAGCCCACTTGCCTGGCAGGCTGACAGGTAGGTGGCCCAGAGCAGAAGGTAGACGAGTGTGTGGCGCAGCGGGCTCAGCAGCAGGGCGCCCAGGGCCAGCAGGGTGCCCAGCAGGCTCAGCAGCTCCAGGCCCTGTGCCGTGTCCAGCCCCAGGCTCGGGGCTTCCCACAGCAGCGTTGGTGTCTCCCACAGCTGCTGCCAGCGCCCCTTGCCCTGCGGCCGCAGCGTCCTCCTTGCCGGCAGGATGCCCTCAGGGCCATAGAGGCCTGTGGGGGGGCATGTCAGAGCCAGGCCTTGGGACCCTCTCGCAAGCCAGACTCCCCTGAGTCAGGCCTGCAGACAGCCCTCTGCCCCAGCTCGGGGTCTGCAGTCCCTCAAGGCCCTTCCCCAGGCAGAACCAGTAGACGCCTCGTCCCTGGGCCCAGAGACCTGCCCAACTACCCGGGGCAGAGCCCACTCTGACTTCCGAGTCAGGGTGCCCGCCAGGTCTGGGCCCAAGCCTCTCTCCCACCCTCCTGAGCTCTGTCCCCGCCCAGGTCAGAGCCTGGAACCCTACGGGGAACGGACCGTGGCACACGTTCCTACCCCACACCCGGAGGCCCGCGGCCACGAACCGCCGCCCCGTCCCCCGTGTCGAGGCCTGGACTTCACTCCCACCCCTGACGGCGCGGGTGCCGGGCAACCGGACGAAAGGATGGAGGGTCCCGCGCGCGGGCTGGGCGGTGTCCCTCCCTGGGCGCCCTCACCCGGGATCTGCGTGTAGAGGGAGGCGAAG